TTATAACCGCTACATCTTGCGGCTCATGGTTTTTCYCTGCCATCTAATAGTACTCCGCGATAATCCAATCATAAATTTCATTATTCACTTATAATGTATCTTAGTAAAATTTCCGTAAAAAGATATTTGAGAGGGTCAAACGAAAGGGCAAACTATTGGYTCCAGATGTCCATCAAATTCAACCAAATCTATTGTACGACTTGGCGAATATCAGATGAGTCCTATATTGCAGTCTTCGTAACCAAAGACTAGGTCACGGAAAAAAAACTAAAAACTATTTCATATTTTAAGTTTGATGTATTTTGTAAACTMTGAAGACTTTTAAWTAGATTTTCCGCACTATTCCCAAAAACATGTGGTCAGCGGTTTCACTAGCAATGTCGACTCTACTGAAGTCTAGCAAGCGCAAATTAATGTCAGCTGGAAGTGGTTGCGMGAAAAGATTGTTGATTAAGGAACCGGGGTTTGGTAAGAGAACAAAGTATTTTTGGTCAGGTTAAATGTGACGACAGTAYTTTTAATGCTTGGGTCGGGTKATAGTTCTTGACTAACAGTGGCTGTTAACAATTGATGTTTACAGTTTGCTGCAGAATTACCTTGAATTGCATCCGCATTTTTTGAATATACGTTATACAATAATTAAATCAACATCCTTTGATGTTCTATCTCGAAAGTGGATTGTAAAGATACTGACATGAAACCATGAAATGCTTGCAGAAAACTACGTACTATTACTTACAAATATCGATCCAGTTCTCATRCTCCCACAACGAGAATGATTTTGGATATCAATCTTTATAAATACAAAGAAGTTGCACTGATTTCAAATTATCATTTGAGCTAAATTGGGCAGTTTAAATGAAACTAAGGAAAGTAATGAATTTTCAGTCGCACTAATTCCAACATGGCCGKCGAGTGCACCTTACAAACGAAGATGGTCACCCTCCACATTATCAGTTGTCTCTTGACCCCCAAAAATATTATCTCATTTCAAATATGTACAAGCCACATAAACATACACAACTTTTTAAACAAACATTGCAAGAGTGGGCAGTGTTATCCTGTGTGGCCATTGACATATAGTATCAATGCTGACGTCGCTTTCTTTGACTCACTCTCGGTGTAAACAGYCTTATTTCTTAAACTTATACAAGAAGCGTTTAAGCACGTCTTCATTGAAGTTTTCTGAATCAAATGCGGAACGCTGAACTAAAAAAGGAGTATTGATATAAGCGTTGTGTGCATTAGCGAATAAATGTTGAATGCCCAAGCAGCAAGCACGAAGCGGTACATTTACAACACCAGTGATTGTTTTTAAACAGTTTAAAAACTGTTAAACGAAATAAAAGAGACACCTAAGTTAAAGGTGTACAAAAACATTGCTTTAAATAAAATCACTTCTTTTTAATATCAATTATATATGATATAGATATATGTCATCTTTAAAAGCCAGATACAGATAYACTCGTCTAGAATCCTGTAAGATTATCAAAAACAAAATGGCTACCTATGATGCCATTGTGATAAGTAACAGAAGAGAGACACAACCAACCGAAATGTTCCAATTAATGTACAATTCGAGAAACTTTACTCAGCAGTATTTTTTTTTTCAATTTAAATCATAAACCATATGTGTATAGATGTAAACCATTAAAGTATTTTTCCAGTCATGATGATCAACTAAAGTGGGCCAAATTGCAGATTAAATAACCAAACTTCAATCTAAAAGACCATAGATATCATTAAAACGGTCTGTTTTATTGCACTTTTTCCCTAAGTAAAGCTACCATTTGTCTAAGTCCCTTAAAAATCGAATAAAAGRGGGAATTTAACTTCTGGATACTAGCTTTCAATCAGGGTCATGGCGAACTAAAACACTCTACAATTATAATTATGGAATCCTTTTTTTTAGCCCTTGGAAAGCTGAGGACCCTAATCCCTTAATGCCAACAAAACCGGCGAACTACTAAGCAATTTGGAATAGTTATTTAGCTATAATATCAATTTCCATGAATGAAGTCATCTAATGAAGATGGCAGTATTCAGCAAGGGTGTGATTTGATGCATGACTCCTGGTGTTAGAAGGTTCTCATTTCAAAAAATGATATGATTAATGCAAATATATTTTCTTGTTTTAGCTGTACTTAGTTATGGTCGTGTAACTGCGTTCTGTATTCTCAACTCAATACAACATTTAGTTCTCGGTGGCCATGTACTGTAAAAGGAGAAAAGGGCTCAAACTCAGTTTTTTAACTCAAATCATATATCAAAAGGCAATTAAAACATGTATTTCTTTTTCCTATGAAAATTGCGGCGTCAATATGTGAATCAGTTGTATTCAACACAAGACTATCACAACGAAACTCGATATKGGAAGGAATAGTGCTGATGCAACGATGAATAAAACATCATGCAATACTAAAAAAATATAAATAAACTTATCAGGAACAAKGATTATGGTTGCAGCAGAGTATGCCATTCTTTTTTCACTCATTCAATCATTCGCTGAGTGAGAAAATAGTGCAAATATAAAGTAAAAAGATCCTCCTAAACCAGGGTTGCAACATCACAACATTACATGCCAATGACACGTCATTTCCTTTAAAGTTCTGGTATGCTTTGGCCGTGTAATCATGTCTCATTTCACAAAAAAACAAACGCTTGATATTTTTTACTGACTGAACGAACTCAAGACAATCTACAAGTCAAGGCGTTGGATTTGTTTTCAAAACAGTTAACAGTTAACAATAAACAGTTAACTATGTACTATAAAGGGTCACCAATGACCGTGCTGTAGTTGTTAGATATAGATATGACCTGGCATACCCGTATCATTGGTTAAAATCACTGCACTTACCTTGATATACTGATATTTTGATCTGATAAACATAGACACCAAGAACTTCATAGGACGATCTTGTAAATCTTATACTGAAACACAGCGCGCTTTGCSTCTATCTTTACAGTTTCTAGATCAAATAAAACACAAAGAATAAATCATGTTAAGTTTTGTTTGCGAAACTATTAAGATATTGTTTAATACAAATAAAAGTTACTTTGARGATTGTATCAGTTTGAACTTGAGGGTTCCTTAAGGCAGAGTACTGAAGAAAGTAACTTGAACCTATAGCAACTAAAGTTTGGATATACTTGGCTGATACTTGGCTGAATTGTGACAACTCATATACCAATATACATTTTTTTCTTAGTTCTGGAGTGGAGTTATTAAGGAATCTATTCTTTTATTAAAGGTTCATCAGTTCTAGTTATTYTTTCTAACTTGCAGTTTGGTTTAATCAATGACGATCAATCACAACTGACAATTAGACAAAAGATATACCCTTCGAACCGGTCTAAATATAACCTCAAATTAATTCTTATCATCGCCGGACAATGATACCATTCAAAAGGCTATTTTGAATGTAAACATGATTCACCTGTCATTAACAGTTACGTCTTTTCTTTTTTCACTGATAACTGTTGGCAATACCTTATGGAATAATATTTAGTTAAGTTCTGCTCAGTTTGTTAAAAAATTTTCTTTTCAAAATAATTGGTAATTTCAGTAAAAATATCTTTATTTTAATATATCTACACAGCATACTAATCACTCAAAGAAAAGCTGACTATGTGAAGCAGATAGCATCGCACTTATCAGAACAGCAAGTAGAATCCAAATCAAATAAACCTAAAATACTTTAGGCACATACTGTCTAATTAGTTCCGTGYCGACTGGAAGAGTATTTTTTCARCACGCAAATGTACGTTGTTCTTTATGTTAAGTGCTTCTTTTTCATCGTCCCTAGTATTTGAGCTTTCTAAAAGGGGACTTTGATGGATATATATGTCAAAAAYAACGGATCATGCAAAATTGTTCTGATAGTGTATTCATGAACACACGTTTTCCTGAACTTGAGTCCAAAGTCCTGCTGGTCTATTTATAAAACGCTGTGAATTACGGGTTTACTATAAACAAGCCAAACACGTGCTAACCAATAAGCATTTTAGCGTTTAATTTAAGCTTAAAAAATAATCGATTATTTGGATCGAGTCCGCTTCACCTGTCGCGTCCGCTTCTAGAGACAGACGCCTGTTCCGTACGTAAAATTACTATGAAATAGTTAGAAAAGAGCAAAAATATATATATATCCKTTCAGAAATAGATTTTATCGTGCGAAAATCTCTTCACGATAGGTAATTTAGTGTGTTTTATTTTCAAAATAGATRTTTTCAATTGTAACGATGGGATTTTTCGGCCATAATTTTCTCCTGTCAAAAATGCAATCTAGAATTCTTAACTTATTCGTCTAAAAAAAATCAATACACATTAAAAAAATCTCGCCAAMGTTCAAGGAAACAGGCCTCGTACATTATATTAAAAAATTCTGAGTTCACGTTTTTCGATGACGACTCGCCAGACTTTCAAAAATACTGAAAAAAACTATTCAACAGTCACTTTGTGCGCAACTAAAAATACTTTTGTAAGTAAAAGAAAAATACATTAAAAGCTAATTCGTAGCAAGTGCTCCTCATCGCACTCATCGAGTAATTGAGTTTTTCTTTTAGAGCGTGACTATACCTTATAATCTGTAATGTTGCCTTCCCTACCAAGAAATCACTCCTTATACTCCCTCTGTGCTGAGCTTACTAATGAAATAATCTAACTAACAAAACAACTGCATCTTTTTATTGCGGTTATTAATAGTAACTACTTGGAGTTGCTACTGTGGCAGTCTTTCATATGTTAACATACAAGTCACGTATCTATCAGTCTCCAACAGCCGAGACTGGGACGAACACGTTCGCCTTGTGATCGGAGGAGGTCGGAGTCTAGAACCTTCTAATGTTTGACATAGCGATCGTGCCCGAGGGTATTTTAAAAATAGAACGTGTTTTTCAAGATTTGTTTTTTCTAGGAAAAATACGATGTAGATAACCTACTAGTGCAACCATCTTAGATTTATGACGGACCACTCATCTTTGCTATAGTGAGTTTAATTTGACGTTAATAAATGCGGACGTGTTATTAATTTCTTTCTCGAATGAGGGGTGCGTGACAACTGGTATCGATATGTACCACTTGAGTGGGTCAAAACAATGTTTTCAATAGATCAGACAAACGAGTCCATACCATGGCGCGACGCATCACGCACGCCGGTAAAGCCACATAAATAGACATCAAAATAAGAACTTCAGTCGGCGAACAAACAGTTGCCGTCATGGTACTCGCCGCAACGGATAAACAAACGAGACTTTTTTGAACCGGTATAAGGMTAACGGGTACTGATTTTATGTGCGAAGACCTTGAATTTTTTGTCATTACATGGCAGGGGAAAACCTGATTTCTAATAGTATCACTGGACTTTTCAATGAAAACATCGATCCTGTACCTACTGGGATGTATTCGCTGCTACTGCCAGTCACTGAGGAGGACATTAAGCAGGTGAGTGTTACATACASATTTGTATGAACGGCCTCCCTTCTTAAGATAGCCATAGGCATAAGACAAGTCATGGTTAGTGCACACGTTGAGCAGATATGTTCCGAGGATTGAATACGGGAATATACCTGCAGTAGCTAAAATACTATCTTAATCGATAACACCGCATGTTTTTAATTCAGTAATAGAAATGCGGTGAGCTGGTTTTTATGCCGCAAATTCTCTTAAACAAATGATCGACTCGTGTTTAGCTTTGAACAACTTTCTTTTTTTTTTTGTCGTATTGTTTTTTTCTCTCTCTTACGTTTTGCTCATGAAGACGAAGTTCGGGTGTATTTTTCAATTCACTATTCTCTTTTGCTGTAACTTGAATAAGATTAATTTGCCATTGCAGCTTTCAACATTATGCACTAAATACTATATAAATGCAGCTGGTAAAGCAGCCGGTTTATCTATCAATGAGCCTTATAAAAAAAACAACTTTTGTCTGATAATTTGGTTGATTTATATAAAAGACTAGTGCGCCGCTCACAAGTCATCGTGATTCGCGATGGATGGTTATCAGACACAGGGTTATCATTGAACATTTCGCGATATTGAAACTGTACGATGATCGGTTTTCACCAACATTGTATTAATGGCGTTTCTAAATATCTATCGACAAAGTGTTTGATTATATATTATTTTAAAATACTGAAGGAGCGTACCGTTTCTAAGCATAGAACAACTGAAAAATGGCCTATTTAAAGTGAGAAAAACCATGTTTTCTCACTGTGTATACCAGCCGCTTTGTGATACTTAAAGTATTTTTGCAATATATTATTTTAATTACWGTTAAAATTTGTGTTGATCTTTCAGACGATAACAGAGCTGGATCGATATTTGAACTACTCTCCTTCTACCACAGTTACATCCAACACTAGCAGTGTCCAGCACTCTTCCTCCTACAGTAGATCACTGCACACTAGTGATATGCTAACAGAGGATGCAGGCAGGCTAAAGCATCAACCTGTGGCATACCATGTCAAGACCCCTATGGACAGAACATTTGAACACTCCCCAAATCAATTCCAAAAGAAACCTTGGAATTATAACTTTTCTGTTCCACAGCAAATTAACAACGAGATTGGATTTCAAAACCATTTCATAAAGAATCCTTCTTGCTCGTATTCGAACAGTTATTTTGCTAACGAACATTCATTTCAAAGAAATGATTTTGCWGAGGCGAACCAATCTACTTCATTTACTGTAGGATATCGACCTGTGAAGACTGAACCACCTCCTCCAAGATCTCTTCACGATTCCTGTATGACACAACCTGATCCTGGAGGACAAATTAATTCATTTTACACCTTCCCAAATAACAATAGACTAGAACATTTTAATCATAATCCTGCAGATGGGACATGGAACTATGGTTTTTCTGCACCAAACCATTCAGTAAGCAAGGTTTATCCAYCTGTTCCTGAACCAACTATTCTCACCAAGATGGATCCACCTTCCCGTCTCACCACTTGCAGTGAACAAGAAGAAACTTCATGCTTGTCTGCACCAAATCATGTAGTAAGCAAGGTTTATCCTTCTTCTTCTTCATCAAACTTACCATCTGTTTCTGAATCAACCACTATCACTAAGCTGGATGCAGCTTCTCATCTGAACTCCTGCAGCGAGCAAGAAGACACTTCGCCTGTAAGATTAACCTCGCCTACAACTTCAAATAAACTCTTTCACCTTAACCCACCAAACGAGTTGCCTTYAGAGAACACTACAAATCAATCTACAGCTAAACACGTCGGTCTGGACAGACGTGGTTCAGATATCAGCTCCTCAAGTTATACCAGCCAGTCTAGTCARGGTCCTAGCAGCGTTGACTCGAGCTGTAGTGGTGGATCAGATGGCGAGGGAACACCACCTCTATCCCTTCACGGTGATTCTCCAGAAAACAATGATGAACAAAATTGCATTTTGCACTGTGATTTTCCAGGTTGTGGTAAGCGATACAGCAAAAGCTCGCACTTGGGAACACACAGGAGGATGCACACGGGAGAAAAACCCTTTTATTGCCCGTGGACTGGATGTCATTGGAGATTTCGTCGCTCGGATGAGCTTAAAAGACATTAYCGACGTCACACYGGAGAAAAGCCATATGCATGTCCCTTATGTGGTAGAGCTTTCAGTAGATCTGATCACAGAGCATCCCACATCAGAAAGCTGCACCCATATGAGCTGTCTCCTCTTTAAGGGATGTCTTATATACTCTTATATGCACTACCACTACTACGCTCTATGTAAGATGTACATTATATGTAGCTAGCATGTAAAGGAAATCTGCAGCAGAATATAACAATATTTTATCAGTTTTATACACAACCACACTTTGTAAAGATGTCTAGATTGATATAATATGTTGATATCACTTGGAATRTACACCTAGAAGAATATTAGGCTTCAGTAGTGGCCTGTCGACACTCAACTGATTCGATTGTTGCACTTGTTCTTACTCACACTGTCTAGAAGAAAAAAAYAAACTATTCTTTTTAGGATAGATGCAAATGAAAGCATATATAGCAGTTGTGCATTGCTAGACTTGAAGGAAAAAAACTTCCTTTTAAATACAATTTATATTTGTGTGTATACTTTCATTTTGATTCGTATCTGTATTGACTTTAGTAGCCGGTCTGAGAAATGAAAAGGAGSGAKATACCACAGTCTATAGTCTCAGATTCCCTAAATTTGGCTGAAATAATAAGCTGGACTAAATTTCACTGCCTTTATTTGTTTGAGAATCCCAACATTTTTATCTTCCTAACTCTGAAGAATTTATAACCCCATATAATATCCTTCATCTTAAAATTTTGAAATTTTGTACCCAATTCACAAACTAAAAAAAACTGACGAAATCTTATTAAGATTTTCAAAATATTTTAATTTGAGAAACATTCTGTGCATAAACAAATATTGTTACTGTATACAAATGAGATAACAGCATTTTTCGCTATCAAAGCTAACTAGTTTGTTATGYGAAARTCCAGAAGGGGGACTCCCCTAACATCACGTAACGYCAACACCTGTTTTATAGCAACATGTCGAATTTCGGTTAAACTGTTTCTAGAGAGTCCGTAAGAGATAATTAATGCTCGTATCCATTACTTAACGCATGAATAGGCTGTCCGTATAATATCGTCACATGCCATGCTAGAAAGTGCACTTCAAAAATTGTTATACTTCCGATAAGTTCATTGAAGTCCCTACAATGTAATCGATTTACAGTACTCATTGACCTTCGTGCTTTTCAAATATGATCACCTCACGTCCACTGAGGCCTATTTCGACTGTGAGCACTCTAGTGAAACCCTATTAACATGGCTTGCGGCAGCTGCGGACTTTCGGCTGTATTATTGTCCACTACATGCCGTAGAGAGACAACATGCTGTGACCATCAAAATCAATCAATGTTCAAAGTTCAAAACAATGAAATAGTTTCTTGTACAGAGTGGTTTCGCAACTCGAAAAAGACGTAACATTAATACCATCACGGAGAGTATTTCACGAGTTTGTGAAAATCATTTAAAGGAGCTATCAGCTTTATGGTATTAGTCACTTACTGCTAGATAAAACATGGGATTGCTGACGATCACTCAAGATCAAATCCAACGAAAATTTGACTTCTTTTCATATTCATTCATTCATTTATTACTTTCCGTACATTTTTATTAATACTCTCTCTGTATATTTTTATTAATACTCTTTCCGTACATTTTTATTCAATACTCTCTCTGTATATTTTTATTAATACTTTTTTTCCGTACATTGTTATTATTACTTTCCGTACATTTTTTTTATAAGTTTCCATTCACATTAACTCCAATTTAAAGATTGTTTATCTAAAGTACCGGTAACTTCCACATATTTTGCGATATAAAAGACACGATCTAATCGTTTATGATCCGTCACGTAACATTTCCCAAAATATTTCAAATATTATAAACACGCTTCTTAGTTTGACATGGGGTCAATAGAGCCTAAACGTTCCCTTGTGGTTTGTTGCTATTGTCGGCTTCTATCACGTAGACACGGCACGGTCGCCAAAGGAGGTCACATTGATCCACGTCCGTCCGTACTGCCGTACAATTTAATTGTCTATCCATGTGTGGTCTATTTTTTCACTYCCACGTTTCGCAAATAATCGTTTATTGGCATCAGTCCGTTATAAAAACGTATTTCAGGTTGTAATGGTGTTCAGAATTCACACAGTAGGCATCTGGTGGATTTAACTTTTTATATTTTGATACATATGGCTTTTGTCTGCTGTATTTGATACGCTAGACAATATCTGTAGCCGTAAAAAGTCAAAGCCGATATACCTGAAGAAGTCAGTTTCGAAAAAAAGGCCGATGAAAAAAATTGTTGTTCTACAATATCTAAAAATAAAATTTAAAATATAATTCGTTTATCTACGTGTGAAAACTACTTGAAATAGTTACAATAATATAACGGAAACAAGCTCAGCTCCGATAAACAGATCAGGACGTGATAATCTCTTTAACACACCAACAATCCACCAACAACAATTAAAACACAATAAATCGTTTAAGTAGTACTTAGCGAATGTACACACTTTGTGCAAAATACTATATAATGTAACATAGTTTTAGAAAAACAAACAGTGCTCAATGAATCTATTTTTGATTATCACGTTTGGTCAGCTGCCCCGTGAAGCCGCTCATCGCGTAAATCACAAACATGACGCTCTATATGCAAATGATCCAWAGTCACGAATCGACTGGCGTCGATAAATTATGCCCTAATTTGAAGTAATTCGCTACAAAACACTTTATTAACAAAACATGATGTACAATTTAGCATACATGGCATTTGTTTATTGATTAATGGTCACTTAAATAGATAAAACTTCGCCAGACTATTATGCAAATGTATCGAATGTAACATGAATATTCACTGACTCGGGGACGTGATACTTTTCAAGTGCCTACTCGAGAAACAGTCATGCACTGCGTCAAATCATCGTGATATTCACAAAGACGAAAGTGGTTCAAGTGAGCAGACGTAACTTCGTTGTTTGCGTTATAAGCATACTGACTGGAAAGTTCTATTTTGTGCTAAGATGACACAATTATCGTTGGAAAAATTCTCGACAGACACGCACGTTCGAAGATACAGTTGGTAAGACGAATATATAATTCAACTAGAAGAATTAAGAATTGTAAAAGCAAATGTTTTGGTTATACACTCAAAAWGACAGAGAACAGAGAGGCATTCAAACATGATGTGAAAACGCGTTTTACTGTCGGGAGTCGTACAGGTCTTGGAAATGTTTCTTTCAGATAGCGAACTTCATTTTGACTGTGTACACGGACTTAAAACATCGAGAAAGTTCTAGAGAAAATTCTAGCAGAGCATAAGAAATGACGCATTACAAATAGCTCTGTGTACTCAGTGACTGTTTTGCAATATATCTCTTATAGCTTTGAACTTTTGTAGCCATAAAATAGAAATTTAGAAAATATTTTAATAATTTGTAACTCGACCATGCAGTAGTACGTTTTAATACACAGGAAGCCCGTACTTACGTTGGAAAGTGATCGAATAAATTTGCGTAGATAATTAAAAAAAAAAGAATCAAACGTAAAATCAGAATTAATAGACTATTATTTGACTATTATTCTTTGTTTACATAATAACAATTTTATCCACAAATCGCTGACCAATCGAGACCCGCATCCACCCAATGACGAAGTTTATCATGAGCTTTTTATCATCATTATCATGACCACTAGTTAATCTATTCATNACATCTTTCTGTATTAATGATATTAGTATTATAATCATAAATGATTAGTTAGTATCCAACAGCATCACTCACAGGGACATCGGAGACAGGGGGGGCTCTGCCACCGCATCATAAGTTAAAAGTAAAAAACCTTAATAAACAAATTTACATTAAAATTTGCTGTTCATTCGGATTTAATATCTATACAATATTTCTTTTATGGCACAGCGCAACCTTTTTTTCCATATAGAAAAACTGAATTATATCCCCTCCCCTGTTAGTAAATATGCTCCGACGTCCCAGCATCATCATCATTAGACCACATGTGATTACAAATCATTACTGACACTGCATTTTACTTTGTGCTAAAACTACTTGAGCTTAACGCCCTTTCGATAAGAAATCATAACACAATTTATGCCCACGAGGTCACTTATCGCGGTGCACTAAGAAAGGGCGGWCCAATGCTTGGAAAGAACGCTTTGATAAATAGGAGACTGAAATTCGATTTCACTATGCAAATTGTCACCCTTTAAAACCAGTGGAACTAGACATATTTGATCTTAAAATATATAACCGCCTCTATTTTCCATTTGATACTAAATGATTTCTTAAAGTCGATGTTGAGAGAAATTCATCGATCCATAATTCCATTGTCAAGACATTTGTTAAATTTCCTTTCATTATGTTGTGTTTCAGTTACCTTCAGTATCCTGCTTTTTTACTAAAGTGAACCACAAATCTCATCACCATGATATCCAAAGTCACGTAAGGATTCAATTACCATGAAACTGAATCGTTTTTTGTATAAAATCTTTAGAGAAAAGTAAAGCAGCTTGAGAACTCCTCACTCTTACCAACTGCGCATCAATAGATTTAGAAATTTAACATAAACTTTCGCGGCTTTCACTTTCATCGTCAGCAGAATAACTCATCCGACTGCTACTGGGTTCTGATAGTTCTAAACCAATAGTTTCGTTAGCGACTGTTTGTATTAAGGAAAGACGTGTAGTTTCCGACGATATTCCGCTGACCGATCTTTCAATGTCCTCTCTTGGGGTTCTTTTTGATTGGTTGTTCGATGTCTAGAATGAAAAACGTGTGTAATATATGAATTTATTTACATTTGGCAGATGGCAGGTGATTGATAGTGGTATTTCTATTAACTCACACTAGGACCTAACTTGATGGTGTAACAGGTTTTCTTGAGATGAGTTATGTTAAAATGTATATTCCAACCCCTCCTACTATGTGAGGAATTCATTCTTTAAGGAAGCTTACAGTCGTGGTAATAATAGTCTACTTTGAGCTAAGAATAAAATTGAAACCTAAGACAGTTGGGTAAACCATCATCGTCCATTTGTCAGCAGGGAACCAGTGCTTGCATCAATAGGGAGGATCTTTTAGATTACAATTCTGTAATGCCATTTTGATTATTCAGAAGGGAGGATTTTCTAGATAACAATGCTATAGGGCCATTCTGATTACTTCAAGATTAAGAACCTCTAATCCAATAGTGAATAGAAAAGGTCGATAGAACTATTAAACCGATGTTCTTACAGTTGTCATATCATTTGACATTATTGCAAAATCGTGTAAAACAGGGTCTTAAGTCAGGGAAAGGTGAAACCACATCTGCTAACTCTAATTTGGCTTTAGGCATTACAGCATTAGTTTGTAGGATATGCTTTCGATTCTATTGGACGTAGATCTTACCTCATAAGAAAAGGCATAAAGTCTACTTTAGGATGGACGCAATCATTTCAAGAATTTAAAAACATCAGCTGATATCCAATGATTTCCGAATKATCAGCAATATCAAGTCGAATTGCCCAGACGTGGTGCTCGCAATCAGACTAAATAAATATTGACTTGTCCTCCCTTCGCAGCATGAACACCGAAAATACTCTTGTCGAATACAGAAATCGATATTGAGTATCATGGTGTATTTGTAAGGGATCGAGTTTGTAGGTATATATTTTCCCGAATATATTCTGATATATAAATGGAAAAGGGGATATAGGAGACGAGTTAGAGTATCTTAATGATTCCACAAMGTCTTCCAGCCCACTGAAYCATAAGCTCTGTTGTAGCCTTAGCTCAYTGACTATACTAGTAGAGATCTTGGCAATGCATAATACATCATTTAAAATCAACATAATACAATGATAATCACGTACCGATGGCATATCGTCTTTATCCTGATAACTTTGGTATTGGCGTGTATCTTGATAAGCCTCACCTCTTTGTTTCATGGCAGACTTAAGAGGCTTGTCATTTCTAGACTCATCTTCAAAACGAACAACGGAAGGTCGACGATAAACCGAGTCCTCTTGAGATAGATCGTCTGACGAGCTGTCATACYCYACTAGAGGGTTCACCGTAACATTGATACTATCTTCACTAGAGAAAGTTCGATGAKATCTACCYTCACTGTACGTACGATCTCCATGTTGTTTTTCTTCATTTCTTGACTTAGTTCGCGTGCTGAGAACTTGCGGCGATATGCCTTTATAGTTAGAGGGGCTACTAGGCGATTTGTTATTGGRGATCTGTTCTGACTCTGGTGAGAAGCCTCTAGGCGTATGTATGTCAACTTTTAATTCATGTGGATTTTGAAAAGTTCTTGAAGTGTCGATTAGACTTGTCGATGTGACTCTACTAGTCGAAGATGTTGGACTAGCCCAAGGCGATTGGGYTTGCTTATTGTTGCTTTCCCGTCTATACACCGGGGATTCGATGCGTTCTCTTTGTGATAAATTCTCACAAGTTCTTGACTTAGATTCCTCTTGCTTCTTTGATGTGCTTTGATTTTCTGTGATTACACATTCAGATTTCTCTGGTATTGGTTCTGGGGTCGCGCGYACAATCGCCGATCCACCAATGTCAATTAGTATTGATCCTTCAGTCCGTCCACCGCCCAGTATTGGGCTGGGTAGTATTTGTAATGTGATCCTATTTGATGGATCCATAGTGATTCGTTTGGCGGGTATTTGTCTGTCATTTTCCTCTTTATTCAGTTTTATTTTATGTTTTTCTTTATCATAATCAATTGAATCAAGTTTGTTATCTGTATCCTGTCCCTCTTTAGCTACAAGAAGAGGTGTTYGGTCTGTACCTATTGCTCGTAATCGGTCAGCCAGACCATTCAATGAAGCAGTAGCATTTTCACAAGCAACAGACTGGAGTTCAAATGCAATACTTTTAAGTTCTTTGGATAAACTTTCCTCATTGAGGATATCAGTCGTATCAGCTGCATCTAGACTTTCATCGATCAYTGGTCTGCGTTCAAAAATCGGTGTTTGCGTGGCAACTGACAACAGATCCATCTCATCGGTTTGAGTTTCAATTTCCGTTGTATAAAAATCCTCTCCACAATCAAAAAACTCGTCATCAGACTCTTCATCAATCGATTGTTTGGAGTTGTTGATTTCAGTGGGCGGGGCGCCTTTTTGGCCTCCTTTGAGTTTACTTGCTAAGCGAACTAGTCTCACTATAACCCCAACAATTGCACCTATCTGTCCTCCTTTACCACCGCCTCCCCCAGCCGCACCCATGGCTGCAGAYGCTGCCGCACTTGCAAATTGYGTAGCATCACCTCCTCCGTCTGCAGTTCTCTGACCCTTAGCGGGCTCCTCCTGACCTGGATTAGTGGCGGAGCTTGCTGGGCGAGACGAAGCTTGTGAATTTGCTGCCGATTTTTTACCCTTACCGGCGACCCTCATAATCAGTCTTATTAGTCTCATAACTATGGGCAAAAGACCTTTGGATTTTTTCTGCGTCTGTTGAAGACCTTGTTTTGCTTTTTTATCAATATTCTTGGCTTCTGAAGCAAGGGATCCAGCCGTCCCRATAGCTCCTTCCATAACGTTAGCCGCCATGTCAACGAGTTGAGGTTCACTTGAAATGTGTTCAGGAATGYCACTTGCGGAATTGTTATCAGTTGTAGTAATTTGATTTTGATTAGCTATTTCGTCTTGGCGCTTGTCGGTATCTCGTGTTCCCAATATTACACCGCGGCTAGGACCTGGTAAAAACAAATGATCGAGATTTTGCGTCTCAGACTTGATCACTTTTTTCGCTTCCTCACTGAAAMGTCCTTCCACAGAAGATGCTTCCCGGTAGGCTCCTGTAAGTAGTTTATCAGCTCCAGCTTCCTGGACAATTTGGCTTTCTTTCAAACTGTTGACTGCGTCCTCAGTTTCTTTCTCTATTTTCTTCCCAGTGGCTATTCCTTCCTTTTTGGCATGACCATAAATAAAATCCGCTTCTTTGYATAAACCATGTCCAATCGCTCCTGTAGATTCAAAGAGATATTTCGTGCTGTTGACCACGTTAWTAGCTCCATTTGCTTCAGAAGACGTGAACTGATTTGAYTTTTCATATACTTGGTTCCTAYCGTCAGCGTTTACGGTGTTTCCTGATGTTATGTCGTGTTTTAGTGTACTTGGGGTTGATTGTTGTGATTTAGCTGTCAAAGATGTCTTGTGTAATTTAATTTCTRTTTGATTTGTCGTTTCCTTGGTCAGTGAGCGATGGTCTTTGTCCTGAACTATACTGGACGAGGAATCTTTGTGKACTGTTACTGGACGATTATATCCTCGCTGCGCTTCACTTGATGAAGACCCTACAATAGGAACGGATTGTCCAAGTACGCTCTCGAGTTTCTGTTCTTCGTTTTTGATGAGGTTTTTCGTTCCCTGACTCAAATGMCCAGAAATAAACGMAGCCTCCCTGAAAACTCCAGCTCCTAGTTTATCAATTCCAGTTTCTTTGACAACTTTATTTTCGATTACGTGGCTGGCTACTTCAATTGTTTCWTTTTCCAACGATTTACCAGCAGCTGTTCCTTCTTTTTTTAAGTGACTCGATATAAAGTCTACTTCTCTGTATAAACCATGTCCMACTTTGAGTGCCCCTGTAGTTTCTAATGCTTGTATAGTGCTATCATGGGCAATATGACCAGCTCGGATACTATCATCTTTTACAGCTGTAGCAAGTTCAATTGATTCCTGCTTGAAATCTGTCGCTATCGCTGCAAGAGTGTCATCTTGTGGCATATTTGAAGTRCAGGTATCACTACTTAATTTTGATTTGGGATCTGCAGGGGGTCCTTGGGCACCCGTAACTAGGCCCGCAGGACTATTTTGGGATTCATCACTAGCATTTCCAACGRYTAGAACTTCGTCGTTATTTTCTGGARGGTCTGTTTCTTGTTTTTTACCTTTTCCGCTTAGTTTAGCAACAATTCCAGCCACCATAATAATCATTCCAATGGCTTTTGCGATTGAGCTTTTGGGAGGTGGTTGGGATTCAGCTTCCTGTTGAGCAGGCTCTTCTTCTCCCGGGGCAACCTCAATATCCACAACAACATCAGTGGTTTCTCCCTCCTTAATTGTGGGGTTTTCATTGTCATCTTCATCGCTGTCGCTATAATCACCAAGGCCTAAACCACCAGCTTCACACTCTACTTTTTCCACTTCATCTACAACATCATCAACAACTTCTAGAACGTCATTCAACATGTCCATAGCTTTCCCRAGTCCCTCCAATTCGGCAGCATCTGCCTGTCGCTTTCCTTTCCTCTTATTAGTTCCAAACAAGAACACACCAATTGTTACAACAAATGAGAAAGTTGGAAAAAACGTCATTTTCCATCCAGAAAATCCAAACATTGCTAAGACATCTTTGATAAGTCCCATCGAGGAATCTATAACTGCCAAAAATGTGACAATTTCAAACATAAACTTGTCAATGTACTCTGCAAACTCCTCGATGATCTGCAGCAATTCTTCGGTCACAGTTGGTTGATTTGGGTCATCTAGATCCATTTCGGCCACTTCTGCCGCCATATTTGCCGGGACAGATRTGAAAAAAGTGTACGGTCGTTCTTTCTGCTGCTTTCCCTTCGGTGATATTCAGTTTTGTTTATGTACTAGACTACCTGTTGCATTACATGCAATTAGGAGCCGTCAAAATTCGTCWCATTCCCACAAATAAGATATACAAATAAAATAACAAACAAGGTTAAAGGTTATTTATCAGATATATAAAATACACAAAACACATATATAAAATACATAAAACTCTAACTAAATTTCATGATAAACATTTTCAACCGTACATGATCGTCTCACGTGAATGGTTCGCGATGTCAATATGATCAAAGCTATACAATACACTGAAATTGTACAAAATCAAAATAACACAAATTTTAATAGCACTAAATCCGCAACTGATGCGGGACATCCATTGAATCACCATTGTTCTCTATGAACACCATTTACTAAATTGAATAAAAAATTACATGGATGCGTTAATTCTACCAGATGAACTATCAAACGAGCTCATTCTTTACCATAAAACATGAATRAATAACCAATAAATCGGTTTATGCTAATTATTAAGGTTTCGTTGCGGAAAACCATGAAACCACTGCCCATGAACGTGGTACTTGTTAATAAGCGTTGCAATTAATAATACTTAATAATTAAGTCATTGTTTCTTACATAAATTACAACATTTATATRTTTCTTTGCATTCCAGGTCATCAGAAAATGGATAAAGTATTGTGATGTAGGAGAMATGAGGTAAATCGAGGATAATTACCAATATTTACTTAACATATTTATATATGAGATATATGTTTACAAGTGCGCCCAGTGCTATTGATGGATATGATTCGAAGTAAAGGATAAAGAGGTATAATATGTGATATGATAGACATGATACTTAGCGCACTGAAATACGTTTTTGGCACCAAGCATAATGTGAGAAGCTGTAATAAATATTTAACGAGTTGTGGTTTTTTAAATAGATGTCGTGCACGTATCTTTTTTCTAAGTGAAAAGATAATCATATATACAGGAACCGAGAAATAAAATCCACCCATATAAAAGAACGCCAGCTGACATAATTCAGATAAATTTGTCAACTTGTAAAATGACATCAACCCGACGTCAAAAATCCAGTGCGTCCAAAATTTCAAGCGAGGTGTACGAAGTCTCTTTGGGTACAGAGCCAAGAGAGAGTTTTCCACTATCGGTTGAATATAAACATTCTGCTCTTGTATTCAAGGATGGATCGCTAAGACTGATGGGATAAAGTGGGGAACAGCTTTGTTTACTAGTTTGGCTGTGTTCATCTTTATGTTTGSGTTCCTTCGTATCACCAATGTCTCTCAAAGGACTCTTATTTCCAGGATCAAATGGATGAGAGTGGAGAACTATAGTTGACTCGAGATCTTTGATAGTCAATGAGATGTAATTCTCATTAGAAGTGATCGCGGTGGGATCTTTACCTTTTTGAGATGCAACGGAATGCATAGTACCTTCTTTTTCCAAATGGAGTCCTTCCCTGTCATTTCTATTATTGCCATCTTCCTCTAGAACTATTACGACTTCATTTTCAGTTTGGGTACWGCTATCCTTCATGTTTTCCATCAGCACGGTGTCAAGCATCATTTGTGCTGCTATTTCTGATTTATTGTTCAAGCAAGAAAATCCACTTATATCCATATTCATAATTTTCTTGTCTTCACAAAGAACTGTCGATTCGTGACTCGTTTTATCTTCGACATTTGGCGCCAAATGGTCTTCAGTTTGATTCTCATGCGAGGGGACTTCTCTGTAATCAACATTGGTGTCTTCCTTTGTCCCATCGTTACTTTTTGGTCTTCTTTTACGAAGACGATGCAGTTGCATAAATAAACGAGCAATCTTGCGTAATGGCCCTTTTGGCGTCTCTTCAGCATCACTTGCGTTGACCTTATTGTCAGAAGCACKTCCTTCTGTCTGATTTCCGTTACCATYTGATGATGAASGTGTGCGCCGACACACGACCCTAAAGATAAGGCGTCCTAGTCTTCTGTATATCTGCAACAGGCTCTTSGGTTTTCTTCTACGAGCTTGTCCCATGCCTTTCTTTCTAGTTGCGTTRAGCATTTGTGCACCCATCATAACTTTCCCAGCAGTTTGGTCGGCCATGGCATTATCACCAACTAGAYCTTTTGCGTTGAGCACCGTGTTTTGAATTTGTCCTGATTCSAATGATCCACCAATGTCAAGTGTTGTTTCTCCGCTTGTTTGCATGACTTTCTTTGCTCCTCCTTTAAAATCCCCAACCTGAAGTAGAACATTGTCGTGAACTTTTGATGTAGGTAATATAATGCCTTTTGGTTTGTCGTCGTTCGTGTCGTCTGAATCTACATGAATGATAACTGAATGTGAAACTTCTGAAGGAATTCCAACCGCGCTGTCTTCAAGAATATTTTCACTTCCAACCAATCCACCGATACCTTCCAACAAGTTACCATCAGTACTAGCCATTGCTTTGTTATTCCTTTTGTTTTTTCGCTTTTTGGTACCAAAGACGAACAGAGTGAGTGACAGTGTAAATGGGATAGTAGGAAGAAAGCCCATTTTCCATCCATCAAACCCACAAAGCCTCAGGATGTCATAGACAAGACTTATGAAAGAGTTCACCACTGCCAAGAATGTAACAATCTCGAACAGAAAGACATCAATGTAGTCTGCAAAATCGCCAAAAATCTGGAACAGTTCTTCTGTCACGGAATTTTGATGATCATCCGTGTCGTCCTCCATCACAAGTTGAATTTACTTACTTATTAAAATRGCGAATCCGCTTAGAAAAACGATTCGTTGATAAKAGTAACTTGCATTTAAGGAAAAAAAYAAACACTTGCTCTTCGTTCAAATTAAGTGCCTTTTAAATACATGCGGCGCGTTTTACGATTTTTTTCTTGCAACACTTCAAGCTGTCAACAATTTGGCGTAGAAACATAAGTACACTTCAACTTTCCGTATCCTGCCGTGATAAAAGCATGGACATATATATGTTCGAGTATAGAATATCATATGTATTTTGTACACTTAATTTCAAAATTTGACTGTAAATTGCTCCTGGCTTCGGTTCAACTATCGTTAAAAGTTTAGTGAATACTTTTAAAAGGGTATGGGGCATTAACTATTTACTAATTCATTAACATTGCAAATACAGAAGTTTAATTTCTAAGTGGGTCCTTAGCTAAAYTACATCGCAAATACAAAAGAGACATGAATCAAATTAAACTGATGAACACTGAAAAAAGTCCAAAGATTGAAAAAGTATCTGTGAAGATATAATGAAAATTGTAGCGAGGACTACAATGCTGAGGTTTTTTTTAATAAAACTAATCTGTTCTTACTGTTTACTTTTCATAACTCCCACTACGGGTATATTGACACATTGAACGTAGCCATTAACTAAAGCAATGTTTGTTTGCTAACATGGAAATACGGAGCACAGCCTTAGCAGAATAATGATGATACGAGTCATTGTATAGCACGTTTCTGAGCCTCTTACGTCATATACCGTACATGGAGTACACTGTGGGATATGTTTCAGACAAAACATGTCACCTTTTTCTTTCGTTTTCGGCACAATTTTTTTTTTCGGCATTTTTTTTTCCTGCATTGCAAATCAAGCACGCGATATTTCAGAAGTCTATTTCTTATTGGCGGTCTAAAGAAGGAGAGGTTGTTAAGTCAATTACTCCTTTTGTTTGAAACTTATCTAGGTTTTTGGTGTAACCGGAAATCAAATCCTTGTCATTGACCAATGACAGCGTTCCTTATATAATCAAACATACAGTATAATGGCCAATTAATAAAGTCGTATATATATATTCTTATTTGGTCTAAAATTACCATTTTTAGAATGAATAGTCATAAGATGCATCTAGAATTTCAAGAGAGGTACAAGACGTCCATGTATTGTTCGAAATTGAAGGTGTATCGCTAAGGCCCAACATCAAGTCGTCCACTGAATGTCGCTTGGATTGTTCGAGGTCACTTGAAGTGCATTCCTGTAAAGTAGTGTTTTCGGGAAAACTCTGCTCCTCTTGTAAATGGGATCGCCCTTCGCAAATATTTAGTTTTCTTTCCGCAAATGTTGGATAGTGAGTAGGGTGAGGATGATTTTCCTGCAAAGTAATATCTCTGGAAAAACTCTTTTCTCCTTCCAAATGGAGCTGTTCTTCGCTATTTCTTTTATTTTTCCTAAATGTTGGTTGTGGAAAAGAGCGAAGGACATGCAAAGCGGTATTTGTCGAAAAACTCTGCTCTTTTTCTGAATGGGGTCGTTCTTGGCAAATATTTTTGGTTTCCTCGCAAGTTGGTTTTGAAAAAGGGTGTGATTTCTGTAAAGTAGTAATTTTGGTAAAACTATGTCCATCTTGTAATTGGGGTCTTTCTTCGCAACCAGTTTTGGTTTCCTTACAAGTTGGTTTTGGAAAAGGGTGGATTACAAYAGAGGATTCCAGATCTTGAATGGCAAGTGATATATAGTTGTTATCAGCTGTTGATTTGGTGTTTCGTCCGACTGTTTGTCCTTCCATTTCTTCCTCTTCATCTTGAACCTCTTCCTCAACGTTGCCAGCCTCATTTCTGGACACGGTGCTTTGCAAACGATCGTCAGTTTGATCCGCATTGCATTTCTCCTTTTCATCATTTTGTAATACGCTGTATTTGTTGTTTATATTTTGGTTGGAATCGACAAACATTGAAATTCCCAGTTTTCTTTTCAATTTGTGCACATCCTTTTTCAACGGCTTTTCTGCTACACTACACACTGGTGATAYTGTTTCGTGGTCCATGTCACCACCAGTAACATCCATTTCAGTATTTACTTCATCTTCCTCGGTTTTCACAATTAATKTTGTTAGGTCAGCTTCTGATCKGGACTCGAACCACGAGTATTCAACATTGCAGACAACATACTTGGATTCTGTAGGTGCATTGCCTGGAACTTTCAGTATACGCACGCTAGACAGAGTCATCATTTCTGGCAGCTCATTKTTTCTTTTCATTTTGCAATTTTGGTAAATTCGTAGAAAGAAAGATACAACCATTCTTGGAATTTTTCTCGGTGTAATTGCCTCCTCTGGGACTTCTTCTGCTTGATTATTATCCGGTGGGCGCCGGAAGACAACCCTTAAAATAAGGCGTCCCACTCTTCTAAATATCTGTAAAAGACTTTTTGGTCTTTTTTTACGAACCTTCTTCATCCCCTTTTTTCTCTTGGCATAGAACTTTTTTGCCTTGTGWGACGCACCCCGGATAAGCTTATGGGTGATTCGCTTTTTACCTTTTCGAGGTTCATCGACTTCATCCACGGCATCGTCCTTAAAGGTATCTACCTCGTCCTCCGACAGAGAAAGATCATCAAAACTAACAGATTTCTTTTCGCCCACATCAATAGCACTTGTTAAATACTCGGATCCACTTTGCAGTTCTAAACTGACCTTTTTACTGCCATCAAGCATTTTTTCTTTACTGTGTTTTAAAACTCCACTTGTTTTCCTTTCCAGTGYTTTTCCTMCTTCTGCACCTTTCTTTTTTACATATCCAGATATGAATTCTGTTTCTTTAAATAAACCGTGTCCAGAAATGGCATCGCCTAATGGTATCAYAGCTTTGCTTTCTTGAATAGCGCTTTCAACTCCATGTGCTCTTTCTTTTAGCTTTTTACCGACTTTATTGGCTGGACGTTCTTTCTCGTTGATGTCCTCAACGGGCACAGCATCTTTTGTTAGCGCCATAGTTTCCATACCTTCCCCTCCATGATCCAATCCACTTGTCGGAGCTTCCTTTGGTGTTTCTTCGTTTCCTTTTTTCAATCTTTGACATTTTCTTATCATGTTTACAAAACATGCGATGGCACTTCGGAAGTAGCTGGTGCTCTCAGTGACGTTCTCGTGGCTTTGGTTGTCGCTCGTTTCATCGTCACTAGGTTCTGACCCCATATCAATGACCACTGAGGACAGCTCTTCGGYTTCTAAGGTTGGATTTTTGACTTTATCAATTGCACTACTCATATCACCACAGACATTAGTCACATCACCTAGCATATCAAGATCTAGTCCTCCACTAGTCGACTCCTCCATGTCGGCGGACTCAGATGATTTCTTGCCGCGTCGTTTCTTCCGTCGTTTCTTAGTTCCAAACAGAAAGAGAGAAAGAGATAATACGAAGGAAACAGTTGATGGAAAGGCCATTTTCCATCCATCGAAACCGAATAGGGAAAGGATGTCATGGCCGAGGTTCATCATAGCATTAAATACGGCCAAAAAGGTCARAATCTCGAACAGAAAAACATCGATATAGTCTGCAAAGTCTTCGATAATTTGCAAAATTTCCTCCGTCACCGAGGTATGGTGCTCTGTTGCATCCTGTTCTTCCATAATCGTAAAGGTAGTCGGTCTGTMCTCGGAATTAAACACTCAAAGATCTTTGTTATAGTGAAAAATTTAAAACGGCACCTTCCCAAACTGCCATGTTCTTGTCAACAACCTGAAAAAGCCATTTTCCAGCGTGCGTTTGACTGTGCTTGTCATTTACACAAGCATTTTGACAAGCTTACTGGGGGTTGGCAGTTGCTTAATAAATGGACGAAGTAGTGTCACAGATCATAACCTGTAAATCGTTATTATCTTATTACTTGGCCAACCTTACCCATGTCTTTAGTTACCTTGAAGTCACTCAATGTAGTCACTCTTTACTTCATTCAAGTTATACTTCTTAACATCTTTTTGTTAAGAAATTGCATTTATGGAAYTGGTAATATAAAATACCAAATTGACTGACACTAAAAGTATATCAAAATTTCTTTAATAATGTAAGTTCATTTGTCAATATTTGGAACAATTCAATTACGTTTCTATTTCAGCTAGGTCTTGAACATATAATTTATATATCCGATTGCAGGCAAATTGTGTTCCAYAAAACTGGTAAATGTCAAGCAAGGTATTGACTGTTTTAATACTGTTTGTCAAACACTGAAAATGTCAGAACTGCACGTCGGAATTGGCTTACATTAACTATTTGAACCAACAAATATATATAAAAAATGTTCTCAGCAGCCTTTTAGTCAACGTCAATAATAAATATCATTTCCAAATTGCATTCATGTTCAAAAACATTTACTATACCTAAAGATACTTTATAAAACCAAATATTGATATTTTTTACTATCTCTAAATCGCTTTGCTGTTTACATCTCATCTTCTTCTGGTGCCTTAAAGTGGTCTTCCTTGAAAGCAGTATAAATGTCTACATCACTAAGGTCTATATTAGTCTGTAAACTCAATGGACCTCCAATGTRGGACTCTACAATACCATTGATACTTCCWGGCATGCGTGTTGGACTGGTATCTGATAATCCTGTCATGCGCGTTCGATGAAATGACTCGTCCRTGCTTACTTCTGCAAGTACGTCGACTCCTTTCTCGACGTCTTSTGATTGGCTGTCATTCAAATTGTCGCTGTTTTCATCGATTGGCGAGTGGTCGGCRCGCGCACAGATTGACCACCAGTTTTCCTGAAGTTTGAAAATCATTGAATAATCTAGTTCCCAGTGCCCYACTTCTTCTTACGCATGCACRAATAACATAATTYACATTTAAACAATAATTTCGTCAAGCTTACGTTGTGCGGAAGTTGGTTCTGGGAAGATTAAAACAAACGAGGTATAAAATAACACGTCTGTCTTACTTACACATARTGTATTCTCCCATTCACTGGTGCCAACGTCTTCCAAGTTTGTACTCAACTTCTTCTTGATRTTCCCCTCGTGACATATGTAAAGCTGTGGATTAGTGATTATTTAGTGATAAAGATAAAAGCACGCAAAGGCTGTTGGGTTGCACTTCATGCCCGCCATGTTGGATCATGTTGGATGAAGATGACAAATCAATATTATTCATTCATCCAACAAAGCAGTGATTGTAGCATCGCTGTTGATTTATCAGGAACTGCTTTATCGTATGTTTTCATACTTAAAAATGGGAATTACATCCGCGCCCATTCAATGATGAGAGATTACAAGTAACCGTACCTGGTCATTGGGWCCTGCTGATATATGCGATACTCCGATCTCGTACTGTTTCCATTCTGTACCTTCTGGATAAGTGTCCGTAATGTTCATTCGATACCAAAGCGTATCTATCAAATAAAAAATTTCTTAAATTCGCCAAATAYTAACCAGCACACAGTACTACTGACYCCTGTGATGTTTTTATTGTASAAATTMCAATTTACTTCAATTTCAATCATTTTCAAACTTTTTCCTCGTATGGAGYAGGTCGCCTATWAAGTTTTAAATACAGTTAGTYCCTACCATATTTATCTTTTGCCCAAACAGTGGACTTTCCAGCCGAAACTTGAGTCAARTAGGGAGGTTTTTCGCCGATGTGAAACCAGCAGTTACCTACAAATGGTTTAAAGTTGAATCTGTTACTCATTTCCATATTTTGAGCTGCTGACATTAACGGGACAACGCACAGAAAATTGAGCAGTCATAATGTGGAGGTCAAGGGTTTTTAWTCAAGCAATACCTGTTTTGTTATTTTCAGCAAAGCCTGCTCTAAAGTATGTGGTGCCGTTCTGAGCCACRCCCCAGACACACCCTCCKYCACCAATCGAAATACTGATAAACGGGACGTCTGCGATGATATGCTCCCAAGATTGGCCCTGGATAGACACACAGSACAAGGTAATTCAAAGCGCATCAGGATATTTTCAAAACCGCATATTTTTCACGCGTTTACGAATATCATTCTCACGAAACMACCGAAAACCATTGATAACCGTGTACGGATTTGAAAAGAAGACGATGTTTATAAACGTTTRAAAATAATGATCATGAAATGCGGGATACCTGTGGACAATCATGAGTTACACCGTGTCTGTACAGCACATCTCCTTGACTAGTCACCGCCCACACTGAARTGTGCTGGTCATTGGTTTGGCCTGTCTGGACAGAAACATCACGCAGCTTCACTGTGGGTGTYACTAACAACCACGGACCAGTTGTTGTCAATTTGCAGCGTCTAAAAGCAAAATACAAAAATAATGAAAAATCATCCAGTTGCATTTATTTAGTATCATTAGAATAATGGAGAAATTAAAAAAACCCATATAATATAGCAGTATAGCTCAGCGCGAACGTTTAACAACTGCTAAGTTTTAAACATCGTTATTTTTATGTGTAAAATAACTGAAATGTTCAGTCGAAACATGAGAAATTCGACGGTTGACATGGTCTTGGTTACCTTTTCCATCGTCGTCTTCTAACGTAATCGTTCCAGTTCTTTACTGGGTGGTATTGTCTGAAAAATAAGATAAGAATTAACTTATATACACGATCTAACTGAAATAGCACGTCTGTCGAGTATYCATTTGCCTAAAATCTATTCTACATTATTGCTTATCAGGTTGTACCTTGGAAAATCGACAGCATATTGCCATCCTTCTTTGTCGGTGACCTCWGGGCGAGTATCAACCTGCCATTGCCCCACCCACTGCCACTGGCTTGAAGGTAACAAGAATCCCTCTTTGYTTTGCTCGTAGACTCCACTTTTATCGCTCCAYACGTATCTRTCACTGGGAAGCCGTCTGATGATTTAAAAACAATTTTAAAACAAYAWTWTAMTATATATGTTGTCATAGTAATGCTRTWTGTGAATCTGTTCGATAGTYAYACGACATTAATTRGTTTGTTTCTTTATTTCCAGTCTTACCTCTCCGAGAAGCCTTCTATTGGATTCCATCGCTGATTTTCATAAATATAATGAACATTGTAGTCTTCTTGCGTGTGAAGACCAAACGAGCTACTTGAAAACCCACTCAAAACACCCCCACCATAACCCCCTGTGTACACATATGGATTACCATCAAAACCAATTCCCCACACCACCCCTGTAGTTCCTGCTTCTACAGTGAAAAGGTGGCCACCAATTTGGCGCCAGAATCTAGCAGACGACGAGGCAACATCCTGGACATCACTGGCAAATACGTCACCACATGAGGAAACAGCCCATAATGCATTGGGCGAYACGGATCCTTGGCAACTWTGAACTTGCGTTGTTACGGCATAGAGACATGTTAGCCAATCATTGAGGTCCTTTTCGTTTGAAAACGCGATAAAGAGAGGACTACGTTCGAGCGTTCTTTGTAAAACATAGATAGCCAAGCAATTATGACGAGCCATTTTATGAACTATACCAACACACGTGATATCTTGGAAAGGAATTTTCAATTCCCCGTAGCTCTGGTAAGGTGATATCTTCTCGTAGTAACATAACAAAGCCCCGCCTGTTTCTTTGTCTTGTTGGCTTAATTTGACGAGCGAGTCGCACCATAAGTTGTATTGGATATCCATGAGAATTTGACAACGCGCTTTCTTGGACCACGAACCCTGGAATGATAAACCATGCTTCAAAACAATGTGTTGTGATTTAACATACAATTTTGAAAGAGTTAATCAAGGCAATGGAAATTGTAAAATCTTTGTTGAATTCGCGCAACATTGAAATGTGGAAGATCAAGGTGTATTTTTATGAAAATATAATGGCGTCACTATTGTGTGATTTCCGCATGTTTTTGTTGAATCTGACGAGTTGTGGAGTTGCATTAATAAGTCAATTCTTTACGGTCACTCGCTTAAAATGCAACTGGAAACCGACCAAATTTGCGACATTCAAGTTATTCAATTATTGATTCATTTATTAATAGTTGAGATCTTTAACGATGATTACGGTTAGTACTCTCCTCATACCTGGGATATCGCTTCCTCGTACGTGTCAAACTTGTTATTTTCTTTCTGATCACGTGATCGCAGCCGATGTAAGATTTCCTTTCTCCATGATGCATCGCGGTCGTCAATGGTACTAAGACTCATGGTGCTAAATGACGGCATGAGCCCACGATATGGACCATTAAAGAAAGCGGCATCAACRTCACACGCACCACTGCTTACCCACGTGAGAAATTCGACGTTACGCGGTAACGAGTGACTTCCATTAGCGCTGGAGAAAATGTCATCTGCAAAAATAGATTGGCATTGATTGACAATGTTGAATGTTTCAGCTGCTATAGTTTCAAAATATCAAMGAAAGTTTGAAGAAAACAAGGCAACCTTCTATATGGAAGTTTCAGAGCAGAATATAATAATGTATGATACCTTCTATTGTGGTCAGTTTGGACATATTGTCATGGATTCTGCTTGTACGAAGTACTCTCCACTCACGACCACTCAACTCGTCTGGTTTGACATCTGTTCTGAAGTAAATGTGATCACCACAAGTACTTAGACCAAAAACCTGTAAAAACAGACATACAACAACCAAAAACAAACAGATGAAAAAATAATACACACAAACAACAAAACAAACAAGAGATAATGGTGTTAAAGTGCAAAGTTCACACAAGTAAAACAATGCAAATGCAGAAACACACACATTTTCTTGCACTTGTGTTTGCCTTTTCAAGATGTGAACTGTGCATTTGTGTTTGCAGGTTGCTATGACAATCTACCTGATCATTAGGTCCAACAGAAAGTAACAAGAACCTTCCAACCATTTGAATCCAGCTTTTTCCTGTGATAGCTTGTGTAGTYAAGCTAACATTGTTTGTATTAACACCTTTCCTGTACCAAACCTTGGAAACAAAAATACTTATAAACAAAATAAAAGAAGATGCATTGTAATGTTATTGTATGTTAGRTATATTACCTGTTCATCTTTTGTCAATGCCCATAAACCATGAACACCTGCYGTTATCTGTAACAATGGACAAATCTCTCCACTTGATGATATTGATGGTGCATTGACTTCAACCCAGTCAGTACCTGCAGGAAGAAATACATGGATGATGGTGAAACATTAGCAGGGATAGATCTAGACTTCCTTCCCAGGAGGAGTGTAGTTCACTCAAAGAGGGGGTCACACCACTAACAAACAAMAACACAACAACAAACAACAACACAAATAACAACACAAACAACAACAACAAAACTTATATGTAAAGGAAAGACTCAGGAGCAGAGTACAATCCTATAATAGTGAGGGTTTAGATGAATTATTTACCTGTTGGTTGATCATAGGAAACACCAATTCKTACAACAGCAACACCCTCCCAGGTAACCCCCCACAAGATCCCAGTCCTGCTGACAGACAACTGTGTGATGGTCCCATTGGGTGGGGGTACCTCTTCCCATYTACGTCCTTCAGGATTTTTRCTTGTTATTCCAGATCTAAACAGAACCTGTTGAAAAGAACAGAATTATCTGATTTCTGAGCAACATTACTGACATCATTAATGCGATCACCATTGCCATTTACAAAAATGCTTTAAATAAAAGTGAAAGGTTGAGAATAGGATGAAAACAGAAGAAAGAAATTCACATTTTCAATCATGGTTACACATCAAACATACTTGTCCATGGAATGTGACRGCCCAAACTGACAGCTGGCCAGGTTTTTGGCCAGGAATCATGGTTCCACCCACTGCAATGTCCTGAAATGGTTGCTTGATAGGGTCATCTGTTAGTCCTGGGATCTATTAGATGGAACAGCATGATTTASTTTATATTTTGTTAATATTTTGTAAAAATGACTTTTTTCAGCGAAAATGTGGGTTATCAGGTTTTACTTTCTGTGTGCCATTCTAGTGTAATAAGTCCAAGTGTAGTTTTTGTTGATTTTACGTATCAAAAAGATGGACCAGCATAGATATTTCTATATATTGTTGGTTACCCACAATTTAGAAGTACATATCCACTTACCAGCAACCATYTATCATATCCATTAAACTTGTAGTATCGTGCCCAACATCTTCGTCTTGCACAATGTAATGAACTATTTGCTTCATGATAGGTGCGTGGGAAGTCAATTGCATATTGCCATCCCTAAATAATGAAATTCATGTGTAATGCGAATCTTGCATTATAAAAGTCATATGTCATGTTTCAAGCTAGGATCATAGAGCATCTAGAGGGAAATTTGCAGTATTCTGCAAACTCAAACTCCTGTAAATATCCAAATGTATGGTATACCTCTGAATCACATGGAATACTTTGGTCTATGCTCCAGTCTCCTTCCCAAACCCAGTRCTTGGAAGGAAGGGGGAATGCTGACTTGGGAAGGTGAACTTTGCCATCTTTACTACTGAAATTATACCTATCACTCCTAAGCATCTGAAAAAAGACCATTTCTTAGTTTAATATATAGAAGCAATATATGTAAAATAACATTGAAAACGCCAACTTGGATTAAGAAGTCATTAAACATAGATTATAAAAAGATCAAAGAATATAAATAGAAGAAGAAAGAACAATCACGACAATGTCAAGAATTACGTTTTTATTACCGATTTTTCCGACCATCCATGTATCCATCCATAACGTTGATTTTCCCACGTTTCWGCTCTATTTCTGATAACAACCTGGGTGGAATGCACGAATAGGCATGGCTGTTGGTTGGCGTTTATTGCCCAAGCACAGCTATTGGTAGCTGATACACGTTTGAAACAGTTCCTTGACTTCAGCTCTGGTGTTGAGACCTCTTTCCAGGAGTTGTCACGCAGATTTACGATGAAAGTCCGCCCATCTCGATCGATMACCCACAAATGGGGTGCCTCCATTATCAACAAGTTGTTCGCGATCTTTTTCAATTTCAAAATCAACTTATCATCATTAGCTCTTTCTAATAGTCGAAGTRAGTAGTTTGGATCCAATCCTTGACTGTGGAATAATTTCCATGGGTGAAATAAGAGGAAAGTATAGGTTTTGAAATTATAAAAACAAACAAAATGGTGAACACCACAGGAAGTGAAATTGAAAATGGTCGTTCGCATAAATTAAAAGGAGCAGCCGCTGGCTCATAAACATTAGAGATTTGTGGATATTTAAGGGAGAATCTAGTTTTTGTCCTAACATTTAAGGTGAAGATTTCAGAACATTAATTTACTAGTTTGCAGGTGATAGATGCTGATGAATATAAAATAACAAAGTCAAAGTTTATCCATGCAAAGTCGGGTTCCCTGTGTTTATGATATCCATATTAGGACATTAACATGGATTACACATAAACATAGAAGTGCAGAAGCCTCAAGTTGCGATCGGTGTGTCTCTTTCTTATGCGGTAAATATCATGGCTAAAAACAAAATCCTCACCCTTGTTTTGGTACACAATTCCAAGAAAGTGTTACTTGGCATGAAGAAACGTGGATTCGGAGTTGGACGATGGAATGGTTTTGGCGGGAAAGTGGAGCCGAATGAAACCATTGAGGAAGGCGCCAGAAGGTATATGCACGTGGACTACACGCGGAGAAAATTGTTTGCTAAATATTTATTTATTTATCAATTGGTATCAGTCAATGGGGAATTTGTAAACTGAAGTGTAAGAACTAAGATATATTGGGTGTTCCTTGTGTTTAACATCGTGAAATATTTTAGACATTCATATACGATTTGTATTCATATCTTATTCATCGTTTCTCTATTATTTTGCTATCATTGAATACATTTGTAGTTTATTTTTAAAATAAATCTTGCATAAAAGACGGGATATTGCACAACAACAGTAGTTATTTATTAATGGGGTTCCTTTGGAGTGGAACACAGGGAGCCCGAATTGAATTATTATAATTCTTACATCTGTATTTTWTGCATTTACTTTCAGAGAGCTTGAAGAGGAATGTTGCTTGAAAGCTAAAAGCCTCACTGAAGCTGGAATATTATTATTTGAGTTTGTTGGAGATCCAGTAATATTGGAAGTTCATGTTTTTAGAACAGAAGAATTTGAAGGACACCCAACCGAGACAGAAGGTAAGACATTCAATTTCAAATGTGCTTTATTTTGMTGTTATCAAAACTGAAATATGTACTGATAATATATTAAAAATATATAAAAGACAAAAATATAAAAACTTAGTTGTTCATAATAAAGATCATATTCATATAGCATGCAATATTGATACCTCTTGTCACCTGTAACAGGCAATATAAAGAGGCAACTCTACTGGCAGGCTTATTGTCAATCAACCATAAATATTTCTAATATATGTCTAAGGACAAGAAATATGTCACAAGGACAAGAAATATTTTATCTCCTATAAATTCCTATATTTACAAAAAAATTAAAAAAAAATATAAAAAAAAATAAAAAAATAAAATACAAAAAAAATAATAAAATAAAATAACAATATGATTTTAATTTTGTTTTTGTAGAGATGTATCCTAAGTGGTTTGAGCATGACCAAATWCCATTCAACGACATGTGGCCTGATGATGTTTTTTGGCTGCCAAGTCTTCTTCAGAAGAAAACATTTCATGGTTATTTCAAGTTTGAAGGGCATTCAAAAATCTTAGAGTCGAAATTAGATGTCAAAGATAGTTAAWGATATGTTTTAAAAGAATAATTTAGTGTTTTATGATGTAAGAAATAAATMTGTTGTTGTTTTCACTTAGCATTACATCACTTATATGGACGAAATAATAATGATATTTACAGACTTAAAAACACTTGATATGTTATGATTTWATGATGATTTTCTTGCATCAATGTTGCTGAAAATCTGTCAGAAATCCTTGTTGAGCAAAAACCATCATAAAAAATGTATATCTTGGCAAATTGAATCCTTCTTATATTATTTTGTTCAGAGTGACTACATTATTGAGTTGTTAAGAAAGTTTCACTTGACGAAGGTCTTGAARTTTTCTTGTGTTCTTGTTGTTCRGGATAAGCAACATGRAATCCTCTCACACATCCTTCTAAGTTGTCAAGTTTGCCACATGACTGACACTGAAAACAATAACAATGTAAATAAACAAATAATAATAGATTTATTAAAACCAGAATAAATGTAAGTAGACTATCTGATTGTACAAGTTATACAGGAATGTCATGAATTAAATTTTATAAATCTTACATACCATCTGTGTGTATTCCATTCCAAAATTATCACCACATAAAAAAAGAAAAAYAATTGAATGTCATGTTTTTACATACATTCAAAAAGATGGGCCCTTAATATTAATAACCCATTAAGCCCCCTAGCATAACAAAACTCTTGCACTTAAACTTGATTTCTTTTCTCAGSTTCATTCTTATTCTCAGTTTTCTGTATCAAAGAGAGTTGTACAAGATATCCACTTGTTGCATATGCAACAAATAGGGATCATTTATTATAAAGAAATATATAAATAATAAAATTTAAGTCTTTGTACTTACCCCCTGTTTAAAATGGCCATATAATAAGTCATGAAAGGAAAAAAATTAATCAAGGTAATAATAATTTATAATGGACAAATATAGAATAAATACT